ACCACACAGTACAGCCCTAGCATCTCGCTCTCTAGAACTCTCCAGGAAAGCTCCCGACAGAATCATGAGCTCCAGGAAAGGAGGTAGGGGACAGGGCGTACAGGGGAAGACCACCCCAAAGCCTCGGTGTATTTGTATTACGTGATGCTGATTAAGCTGTAACACATATTCTGAACTGTGCAAAAAGGAAACTTTAAAAAGCCACAACCAAATTATAAAAGAGCAGAGACAGAGGCAAAGATAAATGGGTAGGAAACAGAGCTTTAAAAAAACATGAACCTTAATCAGTGAATGGATGCTGCTTCAAACTGAGACATTAGGCTTGAAAAGGCCAAGATTCCTCCTGCATCTGGGGCCATCCCCAGCTGCTACTGGACCCAGATGGCTGGTGACTTGGCACAGCCCTCCCTCACTTAAATGTAATTCACTTGCATGTCACGGCATCCCCTCCCTGATGTCACGGCATCCCCTCCCTGATGTCACGGCATCCCCTCCCTGATGTCACGGCTCTCCTCGAGAACAAACAGTAGCAGCAAGGAAGCTGGCCTCCGAGTCGGGAAAACTTGGGTTCAAGTCTCGGCTCAGTTACAGATTGCCATTTACTTGCCCACTCAAGACCTTTCAATCAGTCAGTCAATAAACATTTTTTAATCACCTTCTACGTGCCAGGCGCCATGCTAATTGCTGGGTTTGCGAAGAAAGGCAAAGGACAGTCCCTGCCCTCAAGGAGCTCACAATCTAGTGGAGAAACAGGAAGAAAGCAAATATGTACTAAGTAGGCTATTACTGGAGAAATAGGGAAGGATTGGGAGAGGGAAGGCCCTGGAATTCAGAGGGATCGGGGAAGGCTTCCCGTAGGAGGCGGGAATTCATTGGTACTTAAAGGAAGCCGGAGAGATCAGGAGTCAGGGTGGAGGAAGGTGAGGGTCCAGGAAGACAGCCAGAGAGACAGAGGGCTTGTTTGTTAAAAGGCCCCAGGCCAGCAGCAGAAAGGGGGCCAATTTGTTTAGCTAAGGGAGTTTCCTCACCTGGAGCTCCTTGTATAAATGAAATCAAGGCTTCACTTTCTCTTCCTTTTTCCATCCCTATCCTTATAAGTATAGGCACGTGTATAGATATAGATACAGAGACAGCAGCCAAGAGAGAGAATGCCAAAGACCTGGGTTCAAGTTTGCCTCAGATTGCTATAGGCTGTGGGACCCTGAGTTGGCCTCTTAACTTCTCAATGCTTCAGGAAATTCTCTGACTAGAAATCACAAAGGAAGCGCTAACCTGCATTGGGGGGCAAGCGTGTCCTCCCCAGGAATTTCCTACACTAATGAAATCACAGGTGTGGAGCAAAAGCGGGGAGTGAGTGTGTGTGTGTGTGTGTGTGTGTGTATATGTGAAGGTGCATTTAAACCCACATACACACACACACACACACACACATATAGATATATATATATACATATAAATATATATATTTTTTACATATATTAACAGTACTTCACACGCGTAGATTATGGTGCTTGCTGGGGCTGCTGCGCTGTTACTCCCCGCTCCAGAGGCTTCAGCGGATCCTGTTGCCTGGAGGTGGCAGACTGCTTGGTTTTGCCCACCCGCTGCAACCCGTCTTTCTAGGCTGATCGCATATTATTCCCTTTTGTACACTCCCCACAGCAATCAATCACACTGGCTTACTTGGTGTTCTCCCGCAGGACTTTCTATTTCCCTCTCCCTTTGCAATGGCTGAGCACCTGGAGAGCTCCCCTTCCTCACTCCACCTTTGGGAACTCGGCTGGAGTGCTGTCTCCTACAGGAAGCTTTTCCTGATTCCCACAGTTTGGGGTTTGCTCCCTTTCCCCAAAAAAATTCTCTCTCCTCTCCCTCTGCCTCTCTGACTCTGTCTCTCTGTCTCTGTATGCATATGTTTTTACAAGCTCGTGTGCATGTTGTCCTGTCCCCCACTAGTATGGAAGCTCATTAAGGGCAGGGACTGTTTCATTTCGATGTTTATATCTCAGTGCCTGGCACAGTCCCTGACTGGTACTTTATGGAGTCAGCACTTGATAACAGGCTTGTTTTATATATACAGTGTGTCCCAAAAGTCTGAGCGCAATTTTAAGCTATGAGACTTTTGGGACATACTGTACTGTATGTAGCATTTATGCCACACTTTGAAGTTTGCAAAACACTTTATCTCCCTTAATTCTCACAATATTGCACTCCATGATTCAGGGACTTATTACTCCCATTTTGTAGATGAGGAAATGGAGGCTGAGAGAAGTAAGTGAGTTATGAAGAGTCATACAGCTAGTAAGTCTTTTGAGGCAGAATTCAAACTCAGATCACCCCGATGCCAAGCCAACTTTCTCTCCAGGTACCAGCAGTCCTAGAGAAGAGCAGCCAGATGAGAAAGGAGATGTCCTGAGCCGAGGCCCCTTCTTAAATGGAGGCTTTGGAGTTCATGGCTCCACTTCAGTCCAAGAGTGAGAAGGTGGCGATGAGATGGAATCCCAAGACTGATGAGATCTTATAGGATGATGGCGTTTGCTGATAATGAGCTTCCTGGAGCATGGGGGAGAAGGCAGAGGAATCTCAGAGTAGTGCACCCAAGTGAGGGAGGAGGAGAAATGAAGAAATGTGTGTATACATGTATGTGTGTGTGTGTGTGTACTATATATGCATGTGTATATAGAATTACATACTTAAATACTTAAATGTTTAAATAAGTAATATATAAATAAATACATGTTTATACTGATACAGAAACAGACGCCAGGCATTCCCTTTCCTTTGATGTATTTTTACCAGATTGGGGTTGATAGACAGGAAAAACAACTCAGGGCATTGAAAAGAAGCCCGGTTTTCCTTCTCCTTGCTCCACTTTGTCTTTGGCAAATGAGCTTCCAAAGAGAAGCCCCAAAGGAGTCATCTGTCACGAACATTCTTGTTCACCTTCTGACAGCTCCTACCAGAATGGAAGCCCCATTTGGAGTGGTTCTCTAGGACTCTTGCTTTCAATTGTCCCAGAGAAATGAAGCCTTCCCCCCTAACTCTGAGGCAGTGGGAAAGGCTTCTCTAATTCAGCCCTGGTTGAAACTTTGGGGACCCTAATTAAATGGCCCAATTCATTGATTTCCTTAAAGGGCCTTCCAACATGAAAGAATGGGAATGTTTCTTAGAAGCAAAATGACTCCCCTCCCATTGGGTCCCCTTGAACCCTCCACTCAAATTCAATCCATCAGAAACTTTCAACATTTCCTCTAAGAGGCTGGAGACAAAGAGGGGAAAAAAACTAAGGGAGGCCTGCAGCTGCATTCCATCAACAGAATAAGGCAAGAAAGGGAATTGTACGTCCCTTGCAGCAAGGTATTCTACATGGCACACTGAGGGAGGAAGGGAGGGAGGAAAGTATCTCTGTTGCCATAGCAACAATCACAATTAAAGGTAGGTACCAGTGAGATCTCCCATAAAAGCCAGTCTTGCCTTAGACAGGCTTAACTTAGTCAAACACATTTATGGAAAGATTGGGTTGAGTATTTTCAGATGAGGAGAAGTAAGTGGAGGGAGGGGGAGTGGCCTGGAGAAGAAGGCTTGGAAGGGAAGACTGTCCTTTTCCTTCCTTTCTGTCTCATCTGGCCTTCACAGAGTCACTGCCCAATCTGCTCTCCTCCTGATCCCTCTATAGTACTTTCTTATGGTTTCCTGGAAATTTGGGGCAGCTCTCATTGTTGGGACACTTTCTACCATCAAGCCCAAACCTGCCTCTGAGTAGCTTCTCCCCATTAGCTCTGGTTCTGCCTTCTGGAACCAAGAAAAACAAGTACCACTATGCTTTCTCCATGACAGTCCTTTGCATTCTTTGTCACATTCCCCAGAGAAACTGTCCAAAACCCAGTCCTCAAGCCCCAGCTCCATGTATGCCACTACACCCCAGATGTCATTTCTTCCTCATTCATGTAAGTTATATGTATGTCCACAGAGACTTGTCTAAATGTCTCTTGGGGCTCATAGGGTATTAATAAATAATTTTGCAATTTCACTTGTTTCTAAGGGAAACTTTTATTTATGCCTAGAGAGCAGCAGGAGAGTGAGACTATAGGCCTGGAACAGAGTTTTGAGGAATCACTCTCTCCAGAAGTGTGAGTCTTATGCAAATTCCCAGGTTTGAACCCCAGGTTTCACTCAGAATCTTTGGTGACATTGCTCATCTCTCTTCACTCACATCTTAAAACCTCTGTGTCTCTTTCATCCTCTTCTGTTTCCCTCTGGTCTCAGAGGATGAGGTTGCCACAGCCAAGCTCCCTACCTGCTTCCTTGAACCACTTCCCCATTCCCTCAGCTATCCTGGGGGCCATTGCTCCATCACTCGCTGACCTTGCTCCTCCTCATTTGCCTCCTCCCCCTCCCTGTACCATCTTTCCCCTTTGGTAACAAACGTGCTCAGTTCTCCCACATCTTCAAAAAGCTTCCTCCTCAGCATCCTCCACCTTCTCAAGATATTGTCCTATCTCTTTCCTATTCTTTGTCACTAGACTTCTGAAAATTAAAAATTAATCAACACTTGTGTCCACTTGCTATTCACTTCTTCCTCAGTGCCTGACAAGCTGGCTTCCATCCTCACAATGCCGCTCAGACCACCCCACCCTCACTCACTCTGATCTCCAACAGCTTCGTGATTGACATTCTCTGAGGATCTTCAGTCTTTAGCACCCTCCATCCTTCTGTGTCATTTGACATTACTAATCCCCTGCATTAAAAACAATTTGTAAACTTTGAAGTGCTATGTAAATATGGGTTAACATGATTATTGTGATTATCACTATCAGAGAATTACAAAGAAGTGGCATAAAGGATACCAGAGAGATGGCTGAGTGAAAATGGAGGTGGGCAGGTCCTATGCTGAGTGAGACAGAGGCGGGGCGGGGAGAGAGATCTGACGAAAAATCCACATGTCCCATTTTTATCTATGTAATGTCAAGGGACCTAAAGCATCACCCCCTCCCCCCCTGCAGGTTGAGGAGATCGCTTCTGGAGGATTCCTGAGAGGACATAGAGGGCAGCTGCACAGAAGGAGAAGGTCTGGATGGGCTTTAATCTTGACCAGAGTACCAGTGTGCTCTCTTGTATGTAAGAAAACAGAAACACCCAACCTCCAGAGTCCTCTACTTGCCAGGACACACGTGCTCAGGTGTTGGACTTCCTTTGAATTTACTTCTCTCTTCACAAACAGTTTCTCCAGTAAAGTGGTGGCTCCTTGAAGGCAAGGCCTGTTTCTTTTCTATCATCATGCCTCCTGTGCTGAGCACAGTGTCTGACAGTTCAAACCATAGGTGGTCAGTAGATGCTGATTGAAATAAACAGCATTTGAACCCAAGTCTCCAGACTACATTTCAGCTGCTCTCTCTAACACACCAGCAGGCTTCTCTCCACCATCTTTGGAAGCTCTCAGTTACAGACCAATGGATGCTGAGGCTCTTATTCAAATATCTGACAACTCCAGGTGAAAGCCTGTGACATTATTCCTCATGGCGCAGGCAGCATCCACCAGAAATGCCCCCTGCTGACTCAACCAAGCCTTCTGCTCTGCCCTGAGTATTCCCTGAGACGGGATCGGATCACCACTTATCAGGTATGTTACAATATGCGATAGTGGGAACTTCTTTCCCATTCTTGGGCCAGACGGCTACTGAGGTCCTTCCAACACTTAGATTTGGAATTCTGTCATGCTCTCTTTAATACTGTCCTCAGTCTCATCCTACCCTTTCCCACCTTTGCATTTGAATAAGCTATGCTGGGGCTTTGAATGCCTCCCTCAGGCTACTGAAATACTTCTGCCCTATCAATGTTCAGCATATGTAACTTCCTGCCTGTTCCAGGCTGGGGGTCAGTTTGACTTCTCTGCCTTCACTGGGTGGGGGGAAGTTGCAGGCAAAAGGGCTATTTTTTTTTTTGTCAGAACAAATCCTTCATTGGTTTTATGTGTTGTGGACAGGCTTTATTATTTATTTATCTATCTATCTATCTATCTATCTATCTATCTATCTATCTATCTATCTATTTATTTATTTATTTATTAGCTATATATGATGTGTTTGGAAAATGAAGCCTGGAGAGGTGCATTGGCTTTCCCTCAACATCAGTAGAAATGAGTGGAAGAGCTGACCTGATTCCAGCCTCAGTGGTTCCAGCCACCAGATAAAACCAAACCATACATAATACTAGAAACCAGTTGAGTCTTTTCACTAATGTGTTCAGATCCCAGGTCACATTTCATTCCTCAAGTATGGACTTGTCATTTCCAGAAATCATGTGAGCACTTTTAAGGCATTAGGGTATAGGCAGCACTGTGTGTGGGGGTGGGGGGTGGGGGAGTGTATGGGTGTGCATGTGTGGGGGGTGTGGGTGTATTCAACACCCAGCTGTGTTACTTATGAGCTGTAAAACCCAGGGAATGTCAGTCACCTTCTCTGGGTCTCAGTTCCCTCATCTGTAAAAAGAAGGCTTTAGACCGGACACCCTCCTGAGTCCCTTTCCAGTATTATACCTACAGTGCCATGATTTTGTAAATCCTGGGCACCTAATGGGCACCAGGCACTGTGGACTGCATATAAACCAGGGATATTAAGCAACTTGACCATGTCAAACAGTTGATGAACATCACAGGGAGAATTCGAACCCAGAAGCTCTGACTTCAAACCCTGTATTCTTTCCACACTGCCTCAACAAGATTGATAAATGCTCATTAAATTGAAATATCATGCATAAAATGTTTTGTGAATCTAATTGGTAATTATTATTAACTTCTCACCCACCTCCTAATTGTAGAAAAGGGATACCTAATAATTTTTAGACAAGGAAAGTTGAGGCAAATGTTAGCAGCTGACATTTCTAGCACATGTTATGAATTGGGCTTACATGCCTGAGAACATGGTATGTGGGTATCCCGACCAAGATGAGATCCCATGGCCCTTCAGTCCTTTGCACATTAATCATCTTCCTGAATGCCTTGGCTCTGAGTTTTGCGGTCTGACCATCTCCTGCAGCTAAAGAAGCCAAGCACCTTCAGCATTTGTGGGAGCAGCGCTTCTCTTTGAGGGCTGACTCGGTTTCCAAGTCTTCTGCTTCTAATTCTTGTCAAGTTTCACTTTGCCAGTATGGTTATATTGTGTCAAGGAAAAAAAATGTGCTTTTTGTTTCTGAGCAATTGCTATGGAAACCAGTAAGCCAGTCACCCGGACTCTGTGCCAGAGGCCCCCACCATGCTCAGGCACCATTTCAGAGCAGTGATGAGCCCTGGAAAGAGCTGAGCTTTCTAGGCTGATAAAAAGCACATTGCCCCTGCTGCAAGTTTCCTGGTAGAGATTTTGGAAGAAAGTCATATCAGCTCTAACTGATACTTGACTTATGTCAGGCTGCAGAATGACATTTGTAGGGGACCAGGGACAGCAACAAATTTCCAAGCTAGAAATATGGTGTCCTACTTCACAGTTACAATGCAAAACTGCTTGTGGAGAAGACAGTGTGCTAAAAGCAGCACAAAAGGGGGCTTAATCAGAAGGAGAAGAAATTTGTAAAGGCAAAAATTTGGAAGACCCTGAAATTATTAAGAAGGTGAGAGATTGAATTTGAAAAGCAGAACTAATATGGGAAGATTTGAGAAGGGGGAAGAGGGCTTAAGCTATAGGAAAAGGCATTGAAGAAAGAATGGCAGGAAGATTTCCAGGAGAGGGCAGGTGCTTAGGTGAGTAAGAAAAGGGAAGGGGGCAGCTAAGTGGTGCAGTGGATAGAGCACTGGTCCTGGAGTCAGGAGGAGCTGAGTTCAAGTCTGGCCTCAGACACTTGACACTAACTAGCTATGTGACCCTGGGCAAGACATTTAACCTATTTGTCTCAATTCCTCATCTATAAAATAAGCTAGAGAAGGAAATGGAAAACCACTCCAGTGTCTTTGGCAAGAGCACCCCAAATGGGGTCACAGAGAGTGGGACAGGACTGAAACCACTAACAATAACAGCTAAAATGCAGCTGGTTTTTGTGCTCCAAGTACAGGCTGTTCTCTCTCCTAGAAGAAAACGAAGGTATTCCATGAATGCCCTTCCACCCTCAGGATTATCAGAATGAAGTGTTTAAAAAAATGGCTAGTCTAAATCCATTCCCATCACCACCAAAAACAGAAAAGAAAGACTTTGATGCGAAAGAGAGGGGGAAAAGGATAACTCATATCCACTCCTAGTGATTGACGTGGACTAGATGATAACGCCAGAAGGAAGCTAGAGAACATCGCCAGTGATGATGAAATCTCAGACAAGTGAATGAAGATAAGAGAAGCCCAGCTAGGGCTTTCCTCATTGTTGTCCATTGAAAGGCAGGAGATGAAGAAGAGAAAACATGATTTTGGAAATGGAGACTTAGCTAAGATGGTGGCACCTGAGGAAAGGATTTGGAATTTTGTACCATGGCTTAAAATAGAAATGTAGCACCTGGGTCACCCAGGGCCATCTTCACTCTGTCTCTGGGCTGGTTCACTTGCTCCAATGTAACCTCCCACTACCAGCTCTGGGGGTTCCTAGAGTCAGAGCACCTGGCACATGGCTCCATCTCTCTTAGTGTCCTGAGGGTCACCCAGTCGCAGGGTCAATACCTTCCTGTCACCCCCCAAGGTAGCTGCTCAGCCTCTACCACTGTGGTTCCTATTTACACAGACACCCTGATAAACCCCAAACATTTACCCAACAATAAGGCAAAAGTAAGGAAAATCATTTCACAGTGACTTAGTATAAAGCAAACCCAGGACCAATGAAAGCGTCACATAAGTGTGATAGCCTGCTGGCGTGTCTGGGGTTTCATAAATCAATCAATAAACATTTATGAAGCACCTACTATGTGCTAGGCACTGCACTAGGCATGAAGCACTGAAGACACAAAAAAAGGCAAAAGACAGTCCCTGCCCTCAAGGAGCTTACAGTTTAATGGGGGAGACAACATACAAACAAATATACACAAAGCAAGTTATATGCAAGATAAATGGGAAATTAACAAACAGAGAGAAAGCCTTGGAATTAAGAGGGGTTGGGGAAGGCTTCCATAGAAGGCAGGACTTTAGCTGGGACTTGAAGGAAGCCAGGGAAGGCAGAAGTTAGAGTAGAGGAGGGAGAATTTTCGGGGTACGGGGGACATGCCCAGACCCAAGAGATGGAGGGTCTGGTTCATGGAATAGCCAAAAGGTCAGAGTCACTGGATCAAAGAGGACAAAACTGTTCATCTAATTAAAAGTATGTTAATTCTTTTAAAGGATGAAGGAGTGATGAAATGGCCTATGCATATACACAAAGCTCTATACTATAGAAAATAAAGACACTGAATGAGGAAGAAAGACAGTTAACACACGAAGAAATTTGTAGGCAATAGGCTCAAAGAACTGACTAAAACATTTATATACATAAATGTTCAAAGTTTAGACAAAAGTCAAGAGGACCTAGTGACCCTGGCACAAAGGGTAAATATGATCTAAGCAATGTGACTACGTCTTGGCGAGATGAAACCTATGGCTTGGAAAGAACTTTAAATGGGTATACTTTGTGCAACATGAACAGTATAGGGAAAGGCACAGTGTATCCTTGCATAATGTAGCAGTCACTGGGTGGGGTGATGAGCAGGGTTGTACAGCCCCTCCTATTTGCCATGCTCACCCTACTACTGGCTTGTTGCCCAGATAGGATTCCTGGTATAAATTTCCCTTCCCTGCTCTGGGAAGTTGCATTAAGTAACCCATAATTCTCTGTTTCTCATATCTCTTCCTCTCCGGCTAGAGACAGTGATCTGGCAAAACACCTCAACTGCCTTCTTATTTCCCACAAGTATACCCAGATTGCAAAGGACTGGGGTTCATATTGTGTATAAAGGCAAAGCAAACATTCAATACAAAGAAATTAACACATTTCCCCTTGCAGAATAAGAAAGGCTTAAGCTTTTATGAAAGACTCAAATAAAAAAAGGAGATATAAGGTTAGGCCCTTGTAGTCATCAGTCCATGAGGATTTCATCCACCATCTTTGAACAACACAGCTTCTTGTCACTCCTTGTGTATGACCGATCCAAACCACTTCAGTCCCAGAGTCCTGCCCACTTTCCTTGCCTGTGTTTTGACTTTCCCAGATGTTCATGTGGCCACGTCTACCCCTTCTCTTCTCTCTCCACCCCCACGCTCCAGCTCTGGGCATCTTCCATACATCTCCTCAGGAACCAGGCTCTCAAGATAACTGACTTTTAAAGATTTGTAAAGTGTAGCCTATCACTCTCCATTTTATTATGCTGCTTCCTTTCTGATACATTCAAAGGACTAATTTGCACCTTCAAAAGAGATTCCCTGGCAAGGCTCCATGTTTTTGCTTATTTTGATACCTGTATCCTTTTCCGGTATTAGTTCTATGACAGACCAAATCTCTAAGAAAAGTAACAATTCGTATTCATATGAAAAATCGAGGAACCAAAGATTTAAACATGGTGGAGAGCATTTAAATGACAATCAATAGAGGGAGAAACAGAAGTGATTTTTGTCATCAAGTATGCTACAAACCACCTAGACAGAAAGAAGAAATAGATTCAGGAAATAAACCGTTAGACTCACACAGAGGCATAATAGAATAGTGATGAGGAATTTCTGTTTTCCAGTCATTTCATAGAGCCATCTCTCTGACAAAACCAAATTAGCTAATATCTTCTTGACTTTCCTTGTTGACCATTTTATCATCCAAAAGATCCTATAACTAACCAATGGAAATAACATTCTGTTCTTGATTCTCTCTAACATGGAGGATCTAGCTATTCAGGTGGAAATGATAGGAACTTTGAGCCAAGTTGATGACTATCTCCTTGAGTTTTTGTTTGAAAAAGAACAGGAAGCTATACATAATTAGGCAGGAGTCCTAGAATTGGGGAAAGCATATTTCCAAGGGTTCAGGGGAAGGCTATGTAGGCTCTAATGGAATAGAATTTTATGGGGAATGTCAGTCCAAGAAATATGGGAAATTCCTAAGAATGAAACTCTGAAAAGACAAAGGAAACAATTCCAATGAGGAGAAAGATTGAATGTACCTGAAGAAAACATTATAGTTGCACAGGGAACTCACCAACCAAGTTAGATGTTTAAAAGACACATAGAAGATAGAAGTAAAGACAGGTAATAGTGGGAGAATATGAGCCTAGCAAAGTCCTCTAAAAACAGCTTCAGAAAAGAGGCTCAGAATGAGCTGAAACCATCAAGGAAAGATAAGAATGATCAAAAAATTATATTCAAAGTTATATTGGAGATCACCAGAAGTAAAATGGATAATTTTAATTACATGAAATTTATTTTTTTCCTCACATTATTTTTTTTTAATTTCCTTGTCAATTCATTGAAAGGCTAGTAATGTTCCACAACCAGGAAATGGCATTGTTATTTTTAAGAAGAGAGTCACATAGGGGTAGCTGGGTGGCGCAGTGGATAGAGCACCAGCCCTGAAGTCAGGAGGACCTGAGTTCAAATCTGACCTCTCGCCAAACACTTGACACTTACTAGCTGTGTGGCCCTTGGCAAGTCACTTAACCCCAATTGCCTTAAGAAAAAAGAGAGAGAGTCACATAAAAGAGGTAAGGCCACAAAGACAGAATCAAGATAGAACTTGTTCTTATCAACAAACTGAGAACTCTGTGCTGAATCATTCACCTGGTGGGTAACCTGTCTCTGTAGATTGACCTGGGTATTCATATTTCTGCCAACCAGGACATCTTGGAGTGGTCTGATATGTGATAAAACTTTGGTATTTATGAGAAAAAAAAGCCCTGTAGCCCTCAACATGATTGGAAAATTCTGATTCACTTACCATTCCGAATTTATCCACAATTAATCTGTGAACTGGAATTTCATCTTACAAATAAGTGCTACTCTGAGCTACTTGTCAGATTCAGATAAAGGTCTGTTTCATATCAAATTACATGAAAATTAAAAGACTTTGCATGAACAAAATCAATGCAGCCAAAAGTAGAAAGAAAGCAAGAAATGGGGGAGGGAGGATTTTTTACATCAAGTTTCTCTGATAAAGACCTTATTTCTCTAATATTTAAGGACCAGAGTCAAATTTACAAAAACACAAGCCCAAATGATAAGTGGTCAAAGAATATGAATGAGCAGTTTTCAGTAGAAATCAAAACTATCTTCAGTCATATGGGAAAAAAAATCCTTTAAATCACTATTGAATGAAGAATAAAAATTAAAACAGCTATGAAGTATCACCTTACATCTATTGAATTGGCTAACATTACAAAAAAGAAAAATGGCAAATGGTCAGGATTTGAAAAATAGGTACAGTGACACACTGTCTTGGGGTGGCTGGATGACACAGTGAATAAAATGTCGGCCTCTAGAATCAGGAGAACTCATCTTGAGTTTAAATCCAGCCTCCTACATTTACTAGCTGTGTGACCCTGGGCAAGTCACTTAACCCTGTTTGCCTCAGTTTCCTCATATGTAAAATGAAGTGGAGAAGAAAATGGCAAAACACTCTGTTATCTTTGCCAAGAAATCCCCATAAAGAGTAGGTCATAAAAAGTAGGACAGGACTGAAATGACTGAACAACAACAAAGTGGGAGAGACACTGCAAGACAAGAATAGGACATGTGTCCTGAGTTTTTAAAAAGGGAAGGGAACAGAGTCTGTAAACTATGGAATACAGGTTTGTTTCTCTCCTGTCAAAATTCCAGAACAGATCATTAATGAAATGGATAATGAATACCTGGAAAGAAAAGCTGTGAACATAAAGAGCAGGTCACACTGGCCTAATGTTATTTCTTTCTTTGACAGAATTATAAAACTAGTAAATCAGAGGGATGTTTGAGATATTGTTTACCTAGATTTTAGCAAAGCATTTGATGAAATATCTAGTACTCTTGTGGAAGAGAAGGAAAGATATGAATTACACAATGATGAGTAAAAATAAAAGCAAGACAGACCTGCTCATATATTTGAGGGTGGGGTAATACAATGAGATTCAGAACTGGCTGAACAGAGACTCAAAGACTGGCCATTAATGGTTCAGTGTTATCTTGGCAGAGGTTTTCAGTGGAATTCCAGGCATCTATGCACAGCTCTATGGCCTTTATTTTTTTTTTAAATCACTGTCTTCTATAAAGACATGGATGGCATAGTTCTCAGATTTGCAGATGATATGAATCTGTCTGATAGCTAACACAATGAATGACGAAACCAGTTTCAAAAAAGATCTTGACAGGCTAGATTGAATCTAATAAGATAAAATGTAATAAAGATTAATGTAAATTCTCACACTTGGATGCAAAATTTCACAAGTACAAGATAAGGAAGGCATGGCTTTACAAGAGTATCTGACAAAAATCTGTGAGTTTCAGTGAACTAATGGATTGTAAACTTATTGCAAGTCAAGAGCATGGAAGCCCAAAACAATCAGAAATTCATCTCTTGGAAAACCATCATGTCATTGGCTTCCTTGTGCTTGGAAAGCGATTGTCCTCATACTTCCAGTATTCGTTTGAAGGTGGGCCTCCTCTGTGCCAGACATCTGAATTGTGATGATGAAGTTGTACTGTAACCATCCTCCAGAGCTTTCCAGAGAGACCCTGACATGTGTACTCATGGATGATAATGTAATGCTCTTATTCGTTCATATTTCCACCAATATGAGGGACATCTTTAGGCTCTTCTAACTATTCCTGGGAACTATTATTCCTCCTGAGTTGCAATCTCATTTATGACTGACTGTGCAACTATGGGCAAGGCACTTCTCATCTTGGCTGTTTATTTTCCCCATCTGCAAAATAGAGATAATCCCACCTGTCCCATGTGGTTGTTATAAATGTCAAAGGCAATGGGTATGATATATGTGGCATGACCTTAAGATGCTATGTAAGCATCAGCAAATGCTGTCATTGTTATCTATGAACTATTGGGCATGTCACTGCCCATCACTGGGTCTTGTTTTCCTCATCTGTCAAATAAACAAGATGGAGTAGATGTCTAACTCTTGGTTTTTCATCTCTAAATTGCAGAGCACAGGGACAAGAGTCTCACAAGTCAGGAAAGCACACATGGCCTACCATCATTGTTGTTGTGAGGAATAGTGACATCCATGAGATCACAGGCCAATTGGAGTAAACTGGGAATGATAATAACTGTAGAAGCTGTTAGGAGTAAAGGACATCACTCCTATAAAGTATAGCACAGAGCCTGATGCTTATTAACTTCATGAATGGCTCTATTCTGGGCACTTGGATGCAAACATAAAAGTGAAATCATCCCTGACCTCAAGGAGCTTGCATTCTATTGAAAGAAAGATGCATATACACAGGTAAGTGAATATACACACACACACACACACATACACACACACACACATATCTATATCTATATATCTATCTACATATCTATATATCTATATATATTGACTGGGGAGGATGCTAGCACCTAGTGGGTGAAGGCATGAAAGGCCTTATATGGAAAGGGGCACTTGGCACTTGAGTTTATCCTTGAAGGGATCTAGAAATGATCAAGTAGAGAATGCATTCTAGGGAGCGTAGGGGGAGCAGTCAATATAAAGGCACACAGTCAGAAGATAGAATTTTTTTGTACAGGATCCAAAAAGAACTTTCTAATAAAGAAGGAAGAAATGAGACAGGAAGAGCAAAGGGCTTACGGGTGGGGCTACCAACAAATAGGAGAGGTGCATCCAAGACTCCCATGTGCTGTTCCACTTACTCCCAGCCTAAGCTGTCTTCCCTTCATCCCATTTGGTTGGGGACAGCTGGTGCTTGGCAGGTGAAGCAGATGTCTGGAAGGCAGGATCATGTCTCTGGGGAGACATGATAGTGCTCTGAGATCCCTGAATCAGAAAGGGTTGCAGAAACTCCAACTAGTCATTATCCATTTCCCAAACATAGCAATAATCGGGTAACCTATTGTAAGCAGGTCTGATGTTTTCAACAGTCACAAGTGGATGAGAAAATGATATTGGTACAACAGACCTTTAAAAATGTGACAAGGAAGCTTGGTGTTGGAAAGCTGCCCAGAACAGCTGCAGCGTTAGAGGGTCTTAGAGCATGGGGTGGAGGAAAAGAAGTGTCCTTGTTTTCTCCAAACCCATTCTCCATTCCATGAATCTCTATATCCACAAGAACACAGTGACACTGTACTTATGACAGTGTAATTGCATATTAATCAAACAGCAATTATCGGCACAATAGTAATTAAGGAGACTCCAACAGTGAATGTGTTAGAATTTCTGGGATAGGAAACAGCTTCTCATTTTATAAGAAACTGAATCTCCCATTGACTTGGGGAATCTTGACTCCCCATTTGTCTGTCTTGTCCTGTTCTCCTCTGAACTACAATTCTGCATGTTTTGCTGTCTTGTGGACATCCCTAACCGGCTATGCTGAATGTATCTTCAATTCCACATGTTCAACCCCAATTAAAAAAAAAACCCTCCACCTGACCTTTCACTCTTCTGAGCTTTCTTTGTTCTGTCAAAGGACCCCACTATCCTGCTTGGCAACCAGGTTCTCCATCTGAGTCATCGGCTGCTCCTTTCTGTTTCCCTCATCGCCCTTATCCAAACAGCTGCTAAGTTTGGTTGATTCTACCTCTATAGAATATCCTCACCCAAACACTTCATTCCATTTACACAGTCACCCCAGTCACGTCCTTCAACACGTCATGCTTGGACTATTGCAGGAACCTCTTAATTACCCTCTCAGCTCCAAATCCCTACCCTCTCCATCCTATATCCCATCAAGCGGCCAAGCTGATCATCATCAGGCATAGGTATGACCAGGTCACTCTCCTTCTCAAGAAACACCAGTGGCTGCCTTTTGCTAACAAAAGTGAAATGCCATCTCCTCCCTTTGACATTTCCAATTCTCCCCAATCTGGTTTAAGTCTATTTTTCTAGGCTGGTGATGCATTACTCACCTTCACATCCTCTATGGTCCGACCAAACTGACCTACATGCTATTCCCCATCTCCTGTCTCTGTATCTTTGTATACATTGACACTTGCCTGGCATGGACTCCCTCTTCTTCTCTACCTCTTAGAATAACCAGCTTCCTTCAAGGCTCAGTGAAGTCACAATCTCCTGTATAAGGTGTATCCTGGTGCCTCTATTTCACCTCCAAAAAAGACAATAATTTGCATTTACTTTGCATCTATTTTGAATTTACCTCCCTGTGCACATATTTTATCCCTTTCTTCCAGTAGGATGTAAACTCTTTGAGAGAAAGGATTGTTTCACCTTTGTCCTTAAGACCCTAATGCCTAACACTCTGCTTGGCACATATGGTCAGTGTTGACTGAATGAACAAAATGAGATGGCCTTAGTCTACTGTAAAGAGGCAGAAGTCATCCTAGCTAATAGGAAGATGCAGCCTTTAAAGTTTGAGACCTAGGCCCCTTTCCTGATCACCTTTCTCACTGGGAGCCTTCAACTTCCATCTTCCTTTAGGTCTCTTGCCATGACTGTTGGGTCTCTTTCAAGAAAGAACTACTCACCAAGATATTTAATTCATCCTCAGTGAAATGGGGCATGTCAGAACCTACTTGAGCACTAGTACACAATGTTCTTTCAGGCATTTTCAAGGAAACTTTCTGAGCTCTTTGCTAATCTCCTTGAGTACAATGAAGACTGCTTTGTGATAAAGGATGAATTCTGGGCAACTGGGCTTGGGGACAGCTGTGATCAGCATGAACTCATCTAGTTGCACAAGACATTCTTATGGGATAGTGACAGTGGGCCCCATTTAGAATCTGACACAAAAGACCAATTCCTCCAAAGAGACAGCTTTCTGTTCCCTTACTCAGCCTCCATTTTTTCTTGGGGTGTTTATTCTCCTACTGTTCCCCAGCATTAAAGATGGCCATAAAAGAACACTAACCCAAACTGCTTTGCTTGCCAACAAATGGGCTCCACCTCTCCATGTACAGGAGACACAATGCAAGTTACAGTGAGGTGTTAATCTGCACCAGTGCAGGAAGTTTCCAAATGAGTAAGTTTCTCATGCAGATGAAATTTTGAGCAAGTAATTTAATTTAATTCAACTCCATAAGCATTTTTAAGGGTCTGCTCTGTGCCAGGCCCTGGGTTACAGACTGGTGATAAAAAAGATCAAAATCAAAACATACCCACCCACCCTTGCCCCCAAGGATCTTATGTTCTGTGCTAGGAGGTTATAGTATATACACAGATACAAAATACATACAAAGCAAATCCAAAGCAATTTTGTGGGGGAGGGCAAAGAAAGGGGAGTACTAAGGTTGCATCTTGCTTGGGTCTACCCTTCTCTTACTTTCATTCTGTCAATTGGCTCCCCAGAGGATAGACTATTCCAGATTCAATTTACTCTTGAGTCTGTACTCCTAAAGTTATAGTTTGTGAGCCCCCATTGCTGCATTTATTTTTAATAGTAAGCCAGAGACCACCATTAGCTTAAAGTAAAAAAAAAAAATTACTGAGATGGCATCATAAAAATAGTAGGAGCAAAACATTATTCCTTATGATCTTGAGATGCACTGTCCCACTATTATACACAACAGTGGTGATGGGAAGGCTAGGTGCATCCATAGAGTCCTCCAGCAGACACATGGACACATAGAGTATGCACCCACTTGTGATACTTTGGGCCTCGATGTCCTTGTCTTCTCCATGTATTCTCATATTACTTCCCTGAGCAGGTCACTCTAGTGAGCTTACCTGATGTTAACTAACTTCCTTCTCAAACTGGGCTCTTCCTCCTTTCCACTCACAGAATTCTATTCCTCAGAGCAGTCTCTGTCTTAATTCATTCTCTAAAGTGTGTGTCTTCTTAAGGTGCCTCCAGGAGGGTATTTAAACAGGGAGTCACATGTGAGTGACATCCGAGGTATCACTGAGATTTGGTGGAAAGGGACTATGCAGTTGGACAGTACTAGCAAAGTACCTCAGCACCTAGGACAGAGGCACTTACTTCATAGGCATTTAGTAAATGTTTGTTTATTGATTTAACAGGAACACAGGCATACCTCAAAGATACTGTGGATAGGTTTTAAACTACTGCAATAAAGTGACTAACACAATAAAGTGAGTCATGTGAATTTTTTGGTTTTCCAGTGAATATAAAAGGTGTGTTTACATTATACTGTAGTCTATTAAATATGCACTAATATTATCTAAAAAAAGTACGTATCTTAATTTAAACTTTATTGCTAAAAAATGCTAGCCATCATCAGGGTTTCAGTGAGTTATAAATGTGTGTGTGTGTGTATCTTTTTTTTTTTAACTGATGGAGGGTCTTGCTTTGATGATGGCTGCTGAAGGTTAGGGTGACTGTGGCAATTTCTTAAAATAAAACAACCATAAAGTTTGCCCCATTGATTGGCTCTTCTTTCACTTGAACACTTAGGACCATTATATTGCCATTAATTGGCCTAATTTCAATATCATTGTATATAAAGGAAATGGGAGGTCCAGGGAGAGGGAGAGAGATGGGGAATAGCTGGTCTAATAGCTTAGTTGGAACACACACAACATTTATCAATTAAATTCATTGTCTTATATGAGTGTGGTTTGTAGTGTCCCCAAAACAATTACAATAATAACATGAAAGATCAATGATCACAGATCACTGTAACAGACATAATAATAATGAAAAAAATTGAAATATTGCAAGAATTACCAAAATGTGACACAGAGACATGATGTGAGAACATCCTGTTAGAAAAATGGCATTGATAAACTTGCTTGGTGCAGGGTTTCCACAGCCCTTCAACTTGTAAAAACAAAACAAAAACATAGTATCTGCAAAGCACAGTAAAACAAAGCTTTATAAAATGAGGTCTGCTTGCATATCTATGAAGGGTTGAACTTGATTCAAAAGCAACATGAGGTGTGGTAGAGAGAAAGCTGGATCCTTTCTCAGATACTTCCCATAGTGTGACCCTAGGTAAATCACTTCAACCCTGGACTTCAGGCATGTCAACTATAAAAAGAGGGGATTGAAGGCTTCCAAGTCTCTTCCCGGCTCTGAATCAATGATTCTATGAACTGAATAATGGAGAACAGCTGGCACAGTGGTGGGAGTGTCAGCTTTGAAGTCTGAGGACCCAGTTTCAAATGCCAGCTCTGACACTTTCTACTGTGTGATCTTGGGCAAGTCACTTAACCAGTCAAATCAAAAAGCACTCATTGAGGGCCTACTGTGTGCCAGGTGCTGTGCTAAGCACTAGCAATAGAAACAGAGGCAGAAGACAATGCCTGCTCTCAATGTGGCCACGGTCTAATGGAGAAGACAGCATACAACCT